TGCCCCGACCTGTCGTTGGCGATGACTTTATTCGAAAATGCAGCGCGTGCCGACCCCCACTGACAAATTTGTTCTGCAGTCAAAACCAGCGCCGAGCACGCGTGAAACATGATATGCCGCCATTAATATAAATCACGTGATAAGTACAGTGCTGCGAGGACCCGTCACGTAAGTACGAATACGAATGCCTTCCAACGACACACGGCTCATGAAATATATTAATTTATGCAGGCAAACCTGTAAAAACCGTGTGTGTAATTTCCTTTAATTGAACTGCAATGACTAATGTTTTGGATGAATAATAGACTTGATTTGCAGCCCAGGCCCACGAGCACAATTATATTTGGTGTGCATCAACACTTCAAACTTTAACGCCGGCCTCCGTAAACTAAACATTGTGTATATACAATTTCTCATACTTGAAAACAGCAATTTATATGATTGCACTTTTTAAGCTTTATGGTGCTTGCCATTTGTTAAAAATGAAGTATTTGATTTTAAGTAGGTCTTCAAGATGGCTTTAAACTTATTTGACCACTTTGTTTCTTCTACTATTGTAAACTCGACTTTTTGTTAATATGATATTTTTTTGAAGTATTTGGACCCCTCGTTATCAGAAAAGTTATTTTGTTGGATTACTAAGAAAAGAATACCTTTCGGAAGTTCTTCTTCACCTCGTTACCTGAAATCGATATGCCAATTTTACCTACGGTAACTGCTGTCCATGTTGATACCCAAATGCCCCAAATAAAGTATCAAAATTGAAATTTGCTGACAAAAGACTCTCGCGGATCGTGGCCCTGTTTTTTTATGAACTTAATTAAAATGACGGCTCTCGGGTCACGTGGCCTGGCATCGTAATGTATATCCGCCTTGTTTGTAGTGTGTTTGCTGTATAATTTTCCGACAAGCCTTCGCGGTACTTGAGCCCCCAGCTATCGATTCCGAAGTCGGGGGTTGTGGATTTTCATTAAGGACCACTCAGGTGTGCGCATCCTGCGAAGCAACAAATAAGGCCGCACGGCCCCAGAAAAAACATATGCGTATCGCCGCAGCGCCGCTCCTTGCCACTCGCACTACTTGGCTTTTCACTTTTTAGCTTGAAGTACTCGTCAACCTCTCCCCGGCCCAATTTCTCACTTAGACAGACCCCTGTTCGGGAACGGGGAAGATTATCCCCGTAGCACTGCGAAAAACGGAGTCCAAATTAGAAATATTTAAAGTTAGGGGTAGCTTTATAGTAACTGAAAACAATGTGTGACTAACTTTAAATTCCTTTATTTCTTTAAAAAGAAATGAGTATTTGTTTCGTTATCTATGTGGAAATTAAACTATTTTTTTATAGTAACATAAAAATGTCAAATTTTGTAAACCTAATATATACCCACATGTAAGATCCATTCATAGTTTAGTTCTGAGTGTAAGCAGCATCATTGCAAAAGGCGGGGGTGCATTTTTGTGGGCAAATGGGATGATATGCCTCGAAGTGTTGTTGGTGCCATGCAGTGTTTCCTCGTGTATTAAATGGCATAAATATGGTCACGTGCCATTATTTTGAACCTTCTCGGTGCTCGCCCCAGATCCCGCTCTTCCACATGCAACTTGAAGCCGATTCCCAAGCCGCAAACGGGCGGAGTATTAACATATCGAATTATTAGCCTACCCAGAACATTGGATAACGTGGATAAGGATGTCGTGGCCGCTATTCCGTAATTATCTCGAAAATCCCTTTATGCATATAATTGGCATTTAACTACAATGGAGTCTCTGTGGGCAGCGTCTGTGCTGGTAATACCATTACTTCCGCTAGATTATACAAATTCTGATGTTTCACAAATTTTGATCTCAGCCATGAGGCGGCAAGCATGAGAATGCCAATCTGAATTTCACCAAAAATGAGATGCACGCAAAAGGGTCGTCAATAAGACCTTGGGTTAGTGTTATAGATAACCATACGCTCTTTTAGAAAAAACACCGAATCGGAATAATCCCATTCGTTTCGGAAACAGAACAGGAATGGATAAAGAATGTACAATTGTATGAAAATCATTGCTCATATTAAAATATATATCTTCGCTGTAGTACGAATTAACTTCATTTCCATATCCATTTATGTATGACTTTTATTACGTTAAAACATAAAAAGTTTATTTGTAGAGCAGAAGAACAGAAAGAGCTTATAAATATTGTTATAATAAAAATTAAGAACGACTGAATCAAATGCTGAAAAAATTAGAGGTTCCAAGTAAAAAATTTTCTAGTTTGATTAGTGTAACGCTGGAATCTATTTTATGTTCGTTTGCTGCTATTTTGGGAACTTTAAAATTTGGGGAATTATATTTGGAAATTATTAAGATCCTAATTTAGGGAAGGTTCGCTTCGCAGTTTTTTCTACTTCTCTTCTGTTCGTGCACATTGCAAGCTCTCTCAATTCTTACCAGTGGCGGATCCAGAATTTGGTTGTGGGGGGATATAAATAAAACTGTTGAGTAGAAATCAACAATTTGGAATAAAGTACATATTACATATACAAATTAACCCGAAAAGGGGTGATATATCACCTATATCCCCCCCGTGGATCCGCGCATGCATCTCACTCACATCTTAAGGTAAACAACTTATATAAAAACAGGACACTCGAACACATCCTCCTTTCTTTTATTGTCCATATGGTCCACGGGACATGGAATCACAATTGTCACGTTTTGATTTTCTCTCACTAATGACAAATTAATATATCTGGGGGATGAAAATCAAGAAATATAAGAAATAAGATTGACCTCTGGACTGATGTAAAAAGTTTGAAATTATTTAAAATAAAATCAAACAGTTACGGCAATTGTTACTTAGGATTTGTATTTATAGAATAATCTTGACGACTTTTTACGAATGAAAAACGACTTAAGTGACACAGTTATACGTAGTGGCGGATCCAGGATTATGTGGGTGGGTGTGGGTCTTAAAGAACCACATTCTTTCTTCCTTCCCTAGTGAGAAGGGACTTATTTCACGAATCCCCACGCTGATGGGCAATCATCTTTTAATGAATTTGAAGTATTCTCTTTTTATAAGACGAAACACGTAGTTTCAAGCTTAGAAAAAGTATGGAAATTTTGAGTTCAAAACCTTATTGAAATATAACTTACGCATAAGTAAACGGCCCTTAATTTCTTATACGACACATTATCAAAGTTATTACTTTAGAAGAGCTTACGATTTTTTTTCCTTAAGCCTATGTTACTCTAAGTCTATGCGATGTTATCATGATATTAAAATAAGCTTTACTTCAAGAAACTAGATGCTTTAAAATAAGACCGTTTTTTTAGATGTTTACTCGTATAGCGTCAATACTTGGGTTGGAGACTTCCTTTTCTTATTTATATTTTAATGCAAAAATAGTAAACAACCCCTTCCTAACGTGCTCTTAAGTGTCATGTCTCATTACTGACAATGCAAACAGTTTTAGAAGGCACAACTCCTTTAACATATTTGCATGTTTGGCGGTTATTTCCCGGTGCTTGATTAATTTTTCCAGAAACGACGAGCGGCTTATTCAAGACCGACCCACCGCACTCATAAAGTAATCAGGTCCACCAACTGTCGGGGATTTGTCACCCCCATTAAAGAGCGTTTGATGTATTATTCGGTTCATTTGGTCGACAGGTCTGCGCAAACAGAGCACAGCCATTTGAGCCGCCGCCACCGCTGGCAGCAACCACAAAAAGAGCGGACTGCCGGTGACAGGGACTAAGTCGTCCTGCAAATAGAACTACTACAAACAGGATCAGAGCCGAAATAATCGACCACTGGCCGGTAAAGCCCACGTCCCAAGGCCCGGAATTCAATTTGTGGTAAGCGAAACTTGTCAAAGGATATTTTGGATGTGCCATTTGAAAAGTTCAGATGTTCCATTAAGTCACTGAATAATGCTCATCCTAGAAGTACCGAACTGATCATCGGCTCTCAAACCATAGATTGCCCTAATTTATAGTTAAAATCTATGGGAACCGTTCAGAGACCATAGATCCATAATCAGCAACGCATACCAAAATTATTTAAACAGTTTTAAAAGATTGATTTTTGATATTTGTTTGAACAGTTTGTTAAGTTATTAGATTTTAGCTGATTACTTTCGAAATGAGTAAATTTTGTAGGAAGAGATGATTTAGAATGATTAAGATCATCTGGTACCCTTAAAACTAATTCAATACCTAGGACGTAAGATCATCCTGAGAGCTAAATAATGAATGGTATATTTTAATTTTAAAAAGGTTGTTTTTATTATATACAAAGTTAATTAATTTAATTTTTTATTTTTGGAAAAAGTTTCATGATTTTGCAACTTAATACTTTCGTTTCTTTGGTAAAAAATCATAAAATATCAGTTACCCGTCGGAAAACAAACCCTAGCACGTTTCTCCGAAAAATCGATAAAGTTTTCATTACAAATTTAAATTTGAGAGTTTTCCTGGTCAAATTTACCGTGTATGATTCAATTGTCTGCTGTCTGAGTTATGAAGTTCAACTCAAAGTAATAATATTATTTCGGCTTACCAAACAGCGAAATTAACAAATTCATCCCCTATATCTAAGAGCAGTTAATGTTTTTGGTGTCAGTAAAAACCCTTATTTGTTGTTTTTTTTTATGTTTCTGAAGACTTAAATATTACATACAATAAGAATTCAACACTAAATAAAGAAAGCGATAAGATGAAAACATTACCCATTTTCTATATTAAGCCAATTTTTAAAACTCTTTGCCCGAATAACTTTATATTTTTATGGAAACTGTAGTTTATGAGTAACTGGAAGTATTTCACATTCACTGTTACACTAACTTAATAAATTATAGATTTTTTTTCTCCACTCGCTTTGTAATAAGCCTCCATTAAATTTTCAGATTTCACAAACTTGACCTGATTTGTTATCAGCGTACTCACACCCGGATAGTCCACTCAAATTGCATTATGTTAATACCTAGAGGAGCAAGCAATACATACCTGCCAGGCACTTGCGTCCAAGGTAGCCAGAAATGACATATCCAACTCCTACGGAAATAGACGAAAAGTTGGTTAAAGCAATTTCCCAATTTGGCCCCAGTGGCAGCTGTTGTCCGACCGACCTTCCGTCGGAAGTTGTTTGTAAAATCCAGAATGATGACAGCTTTCGCAGTTGGCCAACGAGTGCAAATTTATGTTAATCGCTGTCCCGCGCGGGGGTGAAGATACTCCAGCTCGAACTCAAACTTGTAATATTACTGGGGATCACGTGCGAATGCCGCCGGAACTTGAGAGCAAAACACGGTTATTTAGTTACGGGGTAACTCGGTAAAGGAACACGGCCTGAACTTGGACTTGACATCCGCCCAGTGAATTTCCGCTCCGGTTTCCTGCACTCGCACTTGTGCCTGTGCCTGTGCCAGAGGTTCCAGCAGCGGATCGGCACTGGAGGAGCTGCAGGAGCGCTGTCGTCGTCGTCTGAGCCAACTTCCGTATCTCCTTTGTGGTTTCGGCCAAAGGATTCCCCAGCCCAGCTTACATTCCGCTCAGTTCAGTTCCGTGCGACCGAAGACCCAGCCGTTGGCTATGTACTGTTCTACCCGGGGGTGTATGCATGCAGCTTCTGTTGGTCATGTGCCACCCAGATCCCAGCCCCATCCCCATGCCCATCCCCATCCCGCTCCCACCCCTCGTTCGCCCGTTGGACCCCAGAACGCCCCCCGAAAGTCCTGCCAAGATAGCGCGCAGCCATACACAGAGGCTATGTGATCCTTCTGCCCTCCGCCCCTGCCCCCACTCCACCACACTCCACATACAGCTCCTGTACATAGACGGATACGTACTCGTATGTACGGACTCGTGGGCACCTGTACATACGCACTGCGACTCCCTGGACGCGTGTACATGCGTACATCTGAGATTCGGGCGGACTTCTTCTATATGCGGGCAATACCTCCCGAGGAAATGGAACTTTGCAAAGTCGGCAACGGACACGGCTCATGCAGAGTGATAAGTGCATAATTACACATAGCCCGCACACACTGGTGTGTCTACACTCGAATGGGTGGTATGTGGTATGCAGATACATAAATATTTATGTGCCGCATGGCCAGTACATAATACACTGCTTGATTTAATATTTGTCTCGCCCACTCCCCGAATTTCATTGCCCATTGGCCGGGGGCACTGTGTGTGCCTATGTACTGCACCCGGAGAAAAGGACATACATAGGATCAACACGGAACATTTTATTCAGCTTCGAATTTGCTTTTCGTAAAGAAAAAACCCGAGTAAGACTTAATCACAAACGCTGGGGTTACATCGAGTAAATAGAACTGAAACTGATAAGTGTTTTATGAATTAAAGCATCGACTCCAAAGTTATTATTTAAATTAAAGTAAACTGGACAATAGTTAAATAGTTATTGAGTTACAAATATGGTTTCCAATACAAAGTTCTTCGATGATATCCGAATAATTTTTAAGTATGCCTAAATTTTAGGGAACTCCCCCTGTTCTATCTTTAAAATAGAACTATTTTATAGGTTGAGCATGAAATCGATTCAAATATAAAAGCTATCCAAAGCACTTGAAGTACATCTTATGATATTTCATGACTGAAGTACCAAAGCCACGGCAGGTACGAATAGATGGGAAAACGAGATTTTTCCACAGTGTAGAGGTACTGCTTGGGATAAGCCCGAAAAGGGGGAGTTACAATCCCCTGTGTCACCGGCAACAGCCCCGATACACATTCTGCTGCGGCTGTACATATCGCTTTTGGGGATGCTGGCAGAGTTCCCAGGCAGCGCGTTCGAGGCGGTATGTATCTTTGACTCACCCCCACCGACTGTATTTATCTCGCGCTCCGTCCCGCTCTGCGCTCGTGCCGTCTCCCTCTGGGCGGCTCTCTTCGTTCTCTTAGTTCGCCAGCAGACTCTCTTCCGCACTTCTCAGATACATTCGGCCGATGTTTGTGATGGTTTCCGTCTGCATCTTGGCCGTGCAATGTAATGCCCTATTAGCTATCTGCTGCCTTCGTGTTCTCCATTATTTTCAAAATAGAATGACGTCGCAAAAGTATCCCAAAAAACAAACCCCCTCCCGTCACACCTTTAAAATCAATAGTACATTTCCATGTTTAGTTATTGGTCAAACAAAAAATACTATTTATTGATCTAAATATTATATGAAGAACAATTTATTTGCGCATAGCAACAGCTGGGTTTTAAAATAATAGCACAGGATTAATAATAATAAATTAAAAAAACATAGTTTATTAGCAAAGGTGTTGAAATACTTTTTCCTATAGCTTGCGATGAATTTTTTCAAACTTGCTTGCACTTACAATCTTTATTCAAATTCGAAAGGTAGTTAGGTTGATGTACATAATATACAACTACGTTTTAAATACTAGCAACAATTTAATTAACCTGTACATTATCAGATTTTCGTTCTGCTAGTAAATTCTATTATTATGTTCATACCTGTATCCAATTTAGATTTACACACAACCGTTTGATTGCACTTTAAGTAAATAACGGTTTTAATACATAATTCAGCAATTGAACTAGGCGATGTGAAATGTTTTGTTATATGCCTCTAGAATTGATGAATGTGTATAGTCCTTAAATGGTTTGCTGCAGATTTATTCGGTAGAATTTAAAAATCGTATACTGTGAAACGTTTCACTCTTTCTAGTTTAACTTTTTTAAATTTGCATAAACTGTGTCAGTTCACAAATATATTCATCTATTTGCATTTCACTAGATCATATCAATGAAGTAATATAGGGGTCTTCGCAACAATAAGTTTTTAACATGTTCGATAATCATAAATCGAATGGTAAATCTCTACGGTTCGATTTAATTAATGAACATTTAAATGAGTATGAAAATCGAAATAACAATAATAATAAAATAATGATACGGCTGGTTAATGTGCATAATAATACGGTTAGCAGTCGGACATACCGACATGTGCATGCGGCGGTACATGCTTACCTGCACTATTAATTAATCATACTTAAGGGAGAGGAGGCACTGCCTCCTTGCACTGGACTGGTGGCCTAAATGTTGGCCGCGCGTCATTAGTTGCCCGGCCGAAGAAGAGCAATCGAGAATAGATTAGTATTTAATTGCTTTTATATATTTAAAAAAATAGCCGGAGCCTCGAAAAACATTCAAATGCAATTGCAGTGGAGCTGGGAGTTGCAGGCCTCAAGGCGACGTGGCCAGGGGCGTCATCAGGGCCCGATGTGAATGCCTAGGAGCACGTGGCTCCAGCGGTCCATGGGATTTCGAAATCACATATTTATATTTCCACTAATTCATTTTTAATAATTTGTTTGGTTCTGAGGTCCGTTGCTCATCACGCCCCGCGCTTGTGTGTTAATTATCGAGGCTGGGACTGCGACTTTGACTTTGACTTGGCCTGGAACTCGAACCGGGCACCAAAACTGGTACTGACCGAGGTTTCTTGTGCTGGCAGCCGGCAAGACAAACGAGTGAAGCCACGCAGGAGCAGGTCGAGGTCCCCAGACTTCTTGAGATTCCGATTCCGAGACCCGACGAACTCTGCGATCCAGATTCGGGGGTGAGATCGACTCGTCTCAAATAATTTATCGTGCCCGTCCAGTTTCTTTTTGTCTTATGCTCGCACATGAGGCTAAATACATGGTTTACGCCGAGGTTTACTTTCCGTCATCTACATATCATTAGTGGTAGCCGCTGTACCCCCCAAATCCAAGCTTGCAGTTCGCATTCGCTGGAGCAGAGATTCTTTTAAGGCTCCGCACACTTTCAAGTATTTCCGAATATATATAATGATTTCAAGAACTTATTTGGTACTACTTTGTTATGAACTCTTAAAAACTGCAACCCAACCCAAAGCTTAATTATTTAAAGTTTGAAATTATACCTCAAAAGGGAACCATGACAAAGGTGTTGCATCTGAAACAAGCTTTGCTATAAATTATATTTTGTAATTGTGCTTGCACAGGAAATAAATAATACGATTTACTAAGTAAATTGTTCGCAAAAAAATAAGCTATAAATTGAAAAATACGCAGATCTAGTTAAATGTTAATTTAATTTAATTTTGTTGTATACAAGAGCCGACATTATAGGATCATTTTAGAAATTATAAGATATTAAAAGCCAATAAATAAAATTTAAAGCTCATCCTCAATAACCATAATTTAAGTAAAGGGCGCAGAAGATCGATTTAAAATAGTGCAACCTTAGTATAATCCACTTAGAGCTGGATCAGCAAAGTTGAACAGAGGAAAATTTCAAGAGTTGGTATAATACTGATGATATTCATATTTCTTAAGAATGAGTCATTCCAAATGAATCAGTTCGGACAAATATAAAAAACCACATTTATTATCGAAACTATTTAAAAAGAAATTTTGATCGGTTCGTTCGGTAGGCAACATCCTTTATAACTGCCCACTGAATAGGTACAGCGTTTGTTCTTGATTATGCTTGCAATCTTTATCAGTCCTTGGGCTGAGGTTTTTACTTGCGGGTATTATAATTACGGCAGTGCTGCCCGACCTCCACCAAACAACCGCAAGTGTCAATGCCAGAGATCGAAATGCATTTGAACCCGGCTTTCGGGGCCCGGGCCTCCGACGGCTTCCAGACTCCCAGACGGAGGTGGAGCTTGGGGCGCAGTCGAGGATGGAGAGATGGAGAGCCGAGAATCGCTAGCATTCCTCGCACAGAAGGAAGTACTTGTGCTACCGACTCCCCTCCTGGCTCCTCCGACTCCTCCAACTCGCGCAGCTCCTCCTCCACCACTACCTGCGTCGTGCTACACTGGGCGAAATCCGTCCTGATCGCAAAGAGGAGGAGTAGCGCACATAGCGCAAGGGTCCAGGGCCAGCGAATGACCACGAGCAAAAGTGGGAGTTGCTATAATTGTTTAATTATAGGATTTTGCTTGCTTGACTTTGCATTTTGTGCTCATAACTTTTGCGCTGAGTTCATGTTACCTGCATTCGGCGGGGTATACGGTAAGCCACATGCTCTCATAAATATGCATCGTCTTGTGGGGGAATTAGTTTTACTAATTGCGCTCGTCACTTTTTGTGACACCACGACAATTTCAGTCTAACAGCCCATTCTGCAACCTAAATAGAGAGATCATGTGAAACCTATTGTGGGTTTATCTGTTATATTTAAGGATTCTAGGAAGCGATGGCCGAACCATTGTTATTTTTACTTAACATTACTTTAATTTAGATTTAGGATAGATTTACTATCCAAAAGTAGGTTTATACATAGAGTTTAAAACTTAGTTCTAGTTAAACATGAGGACGAAGTAACGGTCCTTAGACCTTCAATTCAAACTCACCAAATGTTTAAAAAACAATGAATTTGTTCATATAATATGAAAACAACTTGACAAAGTTGAATTAGATCTGGGTCTTTGATTACTGATTTGATTTGATTGATTTTTTATCATATATATGTTATGGTAAATAAAATCTTTAAGTTTTAGACTATGTTTTCTTTAATTACAATCGCTTATTCAGTTTTGTTACCCAGCACGTAAGG